TCAAAAGAATCAACATTACGACTCCCAGCTCCACACTTGTTAAACGTATTTAGGAAAGTAGTTCCAAATAAGGAGCCGAGTGATTGATAGTCTGCAAAATCTAGTAATAACTCTTTGTTTTCACCTACAAGCACACAGTAAGATGCTAAAAATTAACGTGTCCTTCCTAACAGCCTTCTCCCTGCTGCTCCCCATCAGGGATACATGCAGAGGTCTCCTGTGCCTCAGGTACGTCCTTGAATTGCACATGGCAGCAAACAGTGCCAGGAGAACGGGCATATCAGCTAGGTACTCCTCTGGTCGTGATTGTACGTTAGGCAGAGAAACAACAGTCATAACACAACATGTAAGTAACCTGAATCTGTAATAAACTGTATGAGTAATTATTCAAGAATATGCAATTCAAGTAAGCATTTTGCCTCAAGCAGCGACTAGTTCTCTGGCTTTTCCTTTCCCAGCACCTACAGAAATGTCAAGTCCTCAGAACAATTCTTTTGGAGAAGTTTCCCCTTAAGCTGTTTAAAAGTGATCCCTACTGCTTGGGGAAGACAGAAGCAAGATCATTCAACAGGTGCTGGTCTACATCAACAGCAAGGAACCCCCAGCCTTCTGCATTCATGCCAATCTTTATTTTCTCAAGCTCATATGTATGTGACCTTGTAGGCTGTTAGTTGCTCCACACTGTACCCAGCTACAGCCCACTCAGAGGCTAGAATCTCAGCTGAGTTTCCCAGTACGAGCTGCGGCCACTGTCACTCACCTGCCAGACCTGCTCCACTCTGCTGCCTGAAACCTGGCTGAACACTGCCACGCCTTCAGCGTGGGCACTGGATGCAAACTGCTGCCCTACTTCCTTGATCCTCCCTTCCTGCCCAGCTCACCTTTTTAGTTTTATAATGCTGGAAAATAGAGTCAGCAGCCCAAAGTCCAAGTCTAGAGGAGCTCCATTTTGCAAAGCGTGAGGGAATCGGGATGTGCTGCGGTGCTGTGTCAGAGAGCTAAGCCTATTATACAGGTAGCTTTGCTATGGGCTATAGCGTGTAACAGAAGAAAGGTAGTTCACGTTGCTTAGGATGGTTTAGGACTACCCCAAAAGCAATTCTAAACATCAGCTTTAACGTTGCCCAGAGTATCCACAAGATCTCCTGTTGCAGGCCACTGTATCTGCCAATTGCCCAACTCACTGTTGAGACCACCAGGTTCCTCACATAGAAGCGTAACACCAAGCACTGTTCTGAAGTGACACACGAGTCTCTTCAGACAGGCCGAAGTTACGGAAATGTTCCCTACCCTGCTTCATCATTAATCCTAAAGCTATTTTCCATTCTCTCTCCCTCTGCTAACACTTGTAACACCCTGGCATGCCTTTGTCCTATATTAAGAGGCAAGAGCTAACAGCAAACAGGTAAGAAAAATTTCTGAGTTTGTACTTAAAAATATCTAACCAAAGCCCTGAGTTACAACCATCACATCTCTATTCAGGTAAATACAACAGAAGGACTAAACACCAGTCATTACTGTGCACACACAATATAAATATTGGTTAAGCCTGATAAATCTCTTCTGAGGTAGATATATACAGTACAAAATATGTCAAGAGTCAAACACAAACATCATACTCACTTCACCTTCTTGCTTTGTCCTCCAGTTCTGCAGGAAGCCTTGCAAACATATTATTTCTGCCTCATCAGCATTCAAACCAAGTTTTTCCAAGTTCTGAGCTCTAAGACAATTTGCAGCTAAAAGACCACTGAAACCAAACCCATACATTTAACGCTATCGTGGAGTTTCTGCTGGGGCCATGGGAAAAGTAGGTTAAGACAAAATTCAGCTAAGGAAAATCCAGGTATTTTAAATAACTTTGCAAACAAAATAGTGCTGTTCAAAACAGGTTCCAACAGTTTCATCAACAAGAAAAAAACCCAAAAATAATAAAAACCTTCTGCTGGGGTTTTCAAAGGAAGTTTTAAACTATAAAATAGAGCTTTAGCTCCCAAAAAATGATTTTTGTGACTTGCCCCTGTCACTGAAACACAAGAGGAAAGGAGACAGCTTGAGACACAGAAACACCCCCCCCAACTCCCTTAGAAAAAGGATTCAGTCAAAAAAATTCAAGGAACTCTAATGAAAACCATGCAACAGATAAATCAGATTACAGTCGGCTCAGAACTCGGCTAAGGTTCACATGGAAGATTTGCAAACCTTTAGATAAACTTGTCCTGAGTTCAGAGTTTGTGACAAGCAAGCACAGAGGTTTTAGATTTGTCTAGGCTATCAGACCATGATAGCAGACAAGATATGATAACAAAATAAATAATAAATAGGGAGATTCACTTTTGTTTAGAATAAAATATCTATAAAGATGATCCATTCCGTTATAAATAGCTTAGAGACTAATACAAATTCATAATCACTAAATAATTTGTGCACCAACAGTTGCTTTAGGAAGATGATTGAGCAGAAAAGTATCTGCTAATCAGTCAATTTTGTGTTTTTTTTGTTTTGTTCTTTTTTGGTTTTTTTTTTAACCAAAGATAAATCAGACCACAGGACTGCTATCAAGTTAGTCAATTAAGTGCTGATAAGTACCAACATGTGACTGCATTGGCTCAAGCACATAGTCACATTTTCTTGTGAATCAACACAAAAATGAGTATGACTACAGAAAGAAGCAGCACCAATGCCTGCCTGTGCTTGTGTGACTATTGCTTACTTTGTCACAAGCGGGTGCAGGCTGGGGAAATTTCTCCCTCATAGATGTGGTTCTGACTACAAGCACAACTTTTGGGTCCAGTTTCAGAATACACCATCACATTGCAAGTGACAGGGATTCAGTATTTGGGTTTTGAGCAGTCCCTGTCAGCTCCAGTTCTTTGAATATCAAGCAAACTCCCACTTAGCACACCTCCTTCCAGAGAAACACTGTCTGGGCGAGATGCTTTCCCCAAAGAAAACTTGATGGACGGAAAAAAAAAAAAAAACTAGTGACCAGCAAATGAAAGGTTGCTCTGTGTTTCTCAAATGTCTCAACAGGAATTCAGATTTGTGAGTTATAAGACTCATAACTTGAAGACTGAAACATTCTCCAAATTAATGCCAAAAGAAACACACTTAAACATGGTTGCAATAAATGTATTAAAGTAAAACAAAGAGGTCCAGAAGGAGAGTTTGGAGTCCGAAGAGGCAGAACTGCCCAAGCCTTCACCTCTCTGGCCCAAAGGACAGTTCAGATATTCACTGCAGTGTAGCAGCTTCCCCTGAACAACAGCAGTATTGTTTCTTCAAGTTAAGTCAGAGGTAGTGTCTAAAACAGCGTAATGAATACAGCAGCAGTCTCCAGCTGAGCCCAGCTACGCCTGAGGTGGCCCAAGAACAATACCATCTCGGCCGGCCTGGTCACACTGCTGCTAAGGGATCAGCAGCGATCCTTGGTTTGAGGCCTGGTGTTGAGAAATACGCAGGATGCACACACAAGGGGACGGTGAGCCCAGTCACCAGGGAGACACGCACCGTCATCGGGTACATCTGCTCCGGAGGCCAGCCTCTTGTTGGCAGGCAGGCACCGCGCCGACTGCAGCAGATGCGTGCGTAACTCGGTCAGACACGTAGCCACAGACGCAGGAGCGCTCAGACACAGCACTTTGTTCCACTCGGATCCACTCGGATCAGAAGAAAGGACCCACCTCTACGTGATGTTTAACCACGTTTCCGCTAGAAATTTTTTTCTTTAAATAAATAGAGATTACAATAGATTTTGCTCAATAAATACAACATTTAGTGTAGTTCGAAGACATCCACTGAGGAGCACAAGTGGGACACAGCAATCAGGAATTAGTTGCAGATTCATCCTCTTCTAAAAGGAGGTCATTTAATGCAATAACTGTAGCAGCAAAGTCAACCAGCTCCACAAAGTCTGATGTAATTATGTTAACACCCATAACACCTGGCTTCTGTGCTTTCACCCAATTCAAAATCATGGGCAGGTTCCTAAAGAAATTAGGAAAACAAAGAAAATTAAACATTTTGAGAGACTGGTCTCTATACATACTCATTTCAAATACAACATGCTGTTTACAAATTACGTTATTATCTCACATTTACAATCAGGTCCTGACTGCCACCCAAAATGCAGCCGGCTGATGAGAAGAGTGCTTAATGTAGCATGTGGTCATTAGCTATCAAATAAATATTGGTCAGCCATCAATCCAAACTACCGTGCGTACAAAGTAACATTTGTGAACTCTAAACTCACTGAGCAGTGTGTGCTTCAGGATTTAATGCTGCACTAAGATTTCCTCCATCCTGGTTTGCTTTTACCCAAGTAAATGTTGAACCAAAATTTTAATTTCACAGCAGACTTCAGCGTAGCACAAAGCAAGGTTATATCTGGCCCAAGATGTTCCCTTGCCCACCTCTGGATTAGGATAGGCAGGAAAGAAGTTGTTGCATTTGTACCAGACTCCTTTCACCCTCCAGACCCACCCAGAAGCAATGGGATCAGGGGAAAACCCCAAGTCAAGCCCTCAGCTCTACCGGGGTTGAACATCCCACCATACATCGCTAACCAGAGAAAGGCGAGGTGTGTCAGGAATGGAATTAAATGGAGTTAGAAATTCTACTGTAGGGAGAAATTTCAAGTAATTTCTTGCACGGAGTGCAAGTCAGGAGTCTGCACAAGCTTTTTTGCACTCTAACATGCAAGCACCAGGGTCTTCAGCACAGTTAGGGACAAATGACTAAACACATTAGAATTATTTAAATTAGTGCCATAATATGCATACAAATTATACAAGATGATGGTAGGCAAGGGAATTAGCTAACAGGATGGGGAAGAAAAAACAAACAAAAAGCCTCCTAAACACACCCTGCAGCTCTTGTTCCAGAAAAAAAAAATCTTGTCAAGTTCTCTCTTCTCTTGGTTCTTAAGTGAAAGCATAATTACTGTCCCTGTCGAGGGACACACCAGACTTTAGCCAGCTAAGTGTGAACGTTGCACATTTCTCCTTTAGCAAGAGCTCAAGAACACTTAAATATTCATATTCAGGGCAAAATTTCCATATGAGAAGGCAGACATCTACACAGAACTGCAAAGGCAGATTTACGCATGCAAATCAGCTAGCATGTGTAAACACGTACAAGCAATCATGCTTTAGCAAACAGCAGCATCTATTTTAAGTTTTCACAGTTTACTTTCAAACAAGTGGTAACGATGGGGCTGAGGGAAAGGGATGGAGCTAAGGCAGGCTTCCAGCCCAGATCTGTGCCAGGAGTCACTTGAAACAAAACTGCTTGCCCATTCCATGGAACTGGATGATCCTTTACTAGTTTGACACAGAAGTTCGGCACAGTCTTTCCTTTAATCACGAGACAACAGTACATTTAATATACAGTACACAGACAAGTCACATCCGTGCTGTCTGTTAAGTATCCCCACCAAGCAAACATATTTGCATTTGTGCAACCTGTGGCAGCAAACGCCAGTCACGAAGCACCTGAGCACCACCTAGTGTCTAATGCTGACCACACAGACCCGGGCAAAAGCATAAACCAGAGTGGAGACCTGGACATACTGTGGCAAACATCATTTGGATTTAACTGTCTTTTGCTGGATTAATGTCTGTAGACAGGAAGGAGACTGAAAACTCCATGTATACTTCACTTGGATTTTCCTTACTTCCCTCAACAACCTTTGTGACTGCAAAAGCACAAACACTTGCTGTTTTTAGAAAGGATTTTTAAGAAAATAAGTTAATATATTGACTTTAGCTTCAAAAATAACAACACTAATCACTTCTACAGTGACCAGTGATTCTCCCAAAGAGAACGTGAACTGACTGCTGAAGATGTGTGTGTCTCCCACTGCTTAATATTAAGCTTAGTGGCTGATCAAAATTAGACCACTTGTGACCACCTATACAAATGTAACTTAGAACTTAATATCATTATGTCAAGATAAACTGTTCATGGCATCAAAATAGGCAATATTAAGCAGTGAACCAGGAGACCAGATCCCACCAGACTGTTAACAGTTCTGGCAATTTTTAGCAAATAGACTGTAAGGTGATAATATGATAAAAGTCACACGGAACCTATCCTGGTCATGCTATTAATACTATTAGAAACAGCTGGCACACTGTGCTACTCAGTGCAAAACCCTCTTCTAATGATCTTATTCATGGGCAAATTATTGTACAACAGTCAGTGGTATAAGAAAAAGTCAAACTGTTAATCTAATTTTTGGTAAATAAAACCCCAAGATAAAACACTGCCCCAGGTCATACATCTTTGGCCATTACTGAAATTACTGAGAGAGATTTGTACAGAAAAATGCAGAATTGAGCCCACAAACAGGCAGATTTCCTCTGTAGCACAAGCTTTTTCCCCCCAAAAATTCAAGTTCAGCCAATTTGGAATGAATTATTGGTTTGGAACAACAGGACCAGCCCATGCTTTCTGAAATCACATCACATCCAGAAAGAGCTTCAATTACCAAAAAACACACTTATAGTTACATATATACCCTGTTACTTTATAATTTTCAATAATTATCTTTAATGACTGCAAATATCTCTCACAAGCAATAGTAATGAAGCAAAACTGCACGCTTTCATCAAGTCTTACTTCTAAGCAAACATTTCATAGTTTCTTGCTTACTCAGTGCCTCTTTCAACATGAAAGATGGTAAGCAAAGAACTGAGAAATCAAGTCAAGTCCTTACCTATGAACAAGTGTGTTCTTTAGACCACGAACTAAATGCCGTGCAATAGTTTTCACTCGAGGTGTGAGAATAGCTTGAGAAACATGGAAAGTCCCATAACGACTTCGTTCCTCAAGAGTGGTCTCCAGGAACTGTAACAGTTTGTGTACATTGGTTGTATTAGCCCATGGCGCCGGTATTTTATTCCCTGGCCACAGGAAGGGGTATTCCCGAAACAGAGGGTAGTGGTAGAATATGAGAACCTAACAGAACAAAGAAAAAGGAGAAAAAATAAACAAACATTCACAACTATGTTATAGTTAAACAGGATGCTGCACTGGGTTATGCTTACACAGCGCTGCTGCAGCTAGCATAGCCGTGAAAAGAGGACCAAGCAAAGAGAAGCTGCTCCCGAGTCACGAGTGTCAGTAAATTCGTTGCACTATTACCAAGAAAGAAGATAGAGATCCTTTTGGTTAACTGTGAGGATGGGATCGCTTCAGGCTTTAAGGGTCATCAGTTTAAAATTAGGAAGTCCCCAGGAGTATACTGAAATCTCATTTAAAGAATTCAGCTTAAAAGCATTTCAAAGCACTGTCAGAGACCACTACATTTGTACTTGAAGTTAAGGATTTTAGCAATCTTGTCATCTTCTGCCTAACTGCTATTAAGTGGCTGAAGTGTACCAGCCTGACTGGCGTAACGGCATTCCACTCACACTTACTGCATGAGATGCCAAAGCCAGTCTTGCCCTCAGCAAAATCTCTAAATAAGAAGTCAGTATTTCATGCCTTGAAAGGCAATTCTCTATAAGGGGATAGCATAAAGATGTAACACTTTTTATTAACACCCAAACTTACAAGTTACTAATTTTGGACCCTAGCACTGACAGCATCAATTCAGAGGAATTCCTCAAAGCCTCACATATTTTACAGTTTAAGAATCACATGTCATTGATGAAACCCTATTCTCAGTTTGTATATATGCATGGGATCATTTACCACAGCAAAGAGGCATTTAATCTTGCCGCTATAAATTTGGATGGCTGCAAAGGAGCTAAGAAATTGTGTACCATACCTCTTAAAGCTTATATGCTTCACACTGGTCAAAGAGACAACAGTTTATCAGATCCTCACCAACACAAGTGAGCACAACATGCTCTTCCAGAACAGAAAACCACTTGTAAGGAGCACAAGGCCCTAAGGATACTATCATTTATTTAACAAACAAGCTTGGGAGTGGGACACAGTCTAGCCACACCATGGATGGAGGGGCTACACAGCTGTACATAAATGGAGGGAAACACACACGCTGCACAAAGGAGACCCTAGCGGGCTTTAAGTGGACTGCCAGCAGTGTCCTCGGTCCAATACCTCTGAGTAGGAACGACACACAGCCTCTCTATTTACATCTTAACCTTTTGGTGTCTTTCTTCTCCCACATGTACTGTAGAGTCACATATTCTACACAGTCAACAGAACAAAGTTTGGATCCAAACACTGAGCGGATCTTGTTGATCAAGAAGAAGTGATGGCTGTCATCCATGGCGTAGAAGTGATTGAAATCCAAGAAGATTACTTCCTTGGGGTGCTGCTCAAGGAAGGTGTTAATCTCCTTCAGCCCGTCCCATACTTTGATGCCAAACAAGCCGTGTATGAAATAAATCTCTTGTCCTGTTTCCCCAGGTTTGGAAGATACACGAAGATCAAAGTAGCGGATCCCACCTTCCAACTGCTCTTTGAAAGTCAGATTTTGTGTCACTGACCATTTCTTCATGATCTTTTTAACCAAAGAAATTCTGGCCAAACGTTTGATGGCTGTGGCTTGGTCTGGTCCCACAGGAGATTTCTCATCAACCCAGTAGCTGAAAGAATCATGTGACCCTAGAAACAAAAGCAAAGAATATTTAATTTCAGAAAACTGACTCCAACAAAACAAATATACCCATGTGCCCTGTAAACTGAAGAAAGTCCTACATGCATGGCAGGGTCACAGAAGAGTTAAGCTCGAATGTGAGTCTTTCAGACCGTCCTTTACACCTTAATTTTCATAGAATAGAATCACAGAATCATTTAGGTTGGAAAAGATCAATTTCACTGTACTCTGAAAATCACGACCATAAGACTAACATCAGTGGTAAAGGGAAGCTTCCTTCCAACCTTTCTTCATTTACAAACTATCAATCTACCTCCAAAGCTTTCCTAGAGCCTGGTACCTCACTGATTTGAGGTGAAACTCCAGCTTCATTGAAAGAAGCTGAGGGTTTATTTTCATTTTACCTGGTAAATCCAATAGTGACATAATACACCAAAGTTCTTGGAATAGATATCTTTATTCATATGATGGGCAGAGGGATCTGTACATGTACATGCCTTACCAGCACACCTTGCTTTAGCCCCAAGATGGTAAATAAATGACTAGTGGTTTGAACAGTGGGCAACAACTGGCTGAACTTAAAGGTGGAATAATTGAGTACACCATCAGTTACCATGTGGTTAGATACCAAGCTCATGTTAAACAAGTTAATGAACTTGTCTTTTACCTGGCAGTGCCTCTGAGTGACCACAGGCATGGTAAACAAAATTTACCAAAAAAGACGACCATCAATCAAAATCGCCAGCCCCTGCCAAAATAATGCGTGCCTGACAAAGCTCCTGTAACACCACCTGTACCTTGGCAGAGAAAGTGCTTCTCCGGTATAAAATTTGTGCTTACAGGATAAAATTTGTGCTTACTAGAAAAAACCTCCAACTGAAAACTAAGTAGAAAATGGAAGCAAACCCAAGAAATAACAAAACTCCTTCAAAACAGCTTCAGGATCAATGGAATATCCAGCGCTTAGCTAAGTCAATAACAGAACAAAGAGTAATAGGGCAGTGTGTCTCAGTTTACACTGTATCAGAGCAACATAAAGCAAAGATGGGCAGAAGCCGACCTGCCAGACTGAGGTTTACCAGGGATTTCTAACTATTTACACCAGGCACCAGCATTCTGGCCAAGAAGCTGCAGCTGCTCCAGGCATGAGTCCCCCATGAAGCCCCAGCCAGGAAAAGCACTGCAGGAGCTCTAACAGCCCCGCTTCCCTTTTTTCTCCAGGAGAGCAGACAAGAGGTTGGTTCCCCATTGAGCCAAATCCCACTCGCTGCCTGCACACCCACTTTGATGAAGCATATTAACCCCCAGGCACCATCAGCAGCTCCTTTTCCAGCTGCCTCAGAGATATAGTGACCCTGCACCATGCTGCCAGCACCCGCATTTTCTCTTCCTGCATGCCCCAGCGTTCTTGTCCCTGACTTCTGGGACTATGCTTTTCTAGAATTTCTTCCTCTACCCCCGCCTCCCCCCCCCCCCCCCCCCCCCCCCCCCACACACACTTTGTAATTTCCAATTTTAAGACAACATCTGAGGCGTCCACAACCTCCTCTACCCAAACCTTTTATTTGTGTACCAGTGCTCACTTGAAGACTGGTGCATTTTCTGTGATGCAAGGTCAGAGCTATAAACAAGATTATGATCTCAATGGGATTATCTGGTCAGGATTTTTTAACCCAGATGGAGGTACAGACTGTGCGCAAACCAAACATCAGTTCAAAACCACCTTAAAAGTACTCTTTCTCCATGAATTTCAATTGATTTAAAAATACTGAAAAGGAACCGTGAATGTTAGTTTTCAGGCTTTACAAACAAACACTAAAAACTAATTCTGATAAACTCTTCACAAATTCTTCAGTCTTTGTAAAAACATGCCTCATGTGGTTTTCCATTCCGTCTTCTAGATACAAGCAACAAGTAAAAAAGCGCTGTTTTTAAAAATGTCAGTGTAAGAAACTATTTAGTACCTGTCACAGTAAACTACACCAAAAAGTAGCTGTCAGTTTTGGAGTGACACCTAGATTTTTTCCCACCTCCAAATGTGTAACACCAAAGAAAACACAGGATCAAACATCTAGTGAAGACATTTCAGAAGTAGCTATATACAGCCTGGCTCATACTGCAAGCCACAACTCAGACATTTGAGTTTCATATACCTCCCCATACAGCAGAATGAGACTTTCAAGCTTCTACAGTATTTGGAAAGAAAGGAGACCTCAATCACAAGGGGCTTGACTTCTGCCTCTGAATGAGTCACTTGGCACAAAGAAGTCTTGGGGGGGGTGTGTGTGTGTGTGTTTCTTTGTGTCAGTGTTGGTTTGTTGTGGGGTTCTTTCTAAGTTCTCAATTTTATCCATTTTAATTTCTTCCCCTAGGTCACTGTAGAACATTGTTTAAAATGCTAGAATAAGGCCATAAGAAACATCACCTTTTCGTTTTAGCTAAGACTGTGCAGCAACCTCTAGAGAGCTGTCTCCAGAAGTCAGCCGCACCATTATGCTCCCTCAGACAGTGTCACCGATAAGTCTGACTTAGGAAGGACTCACAACTTTATCTGGCATCAAAGATCCTGTTACCTCAGCGTTGTCTAAGCAAATCCGAGCCAAGAAACAGCTTGTTTTCCTAGGTCTAATCAAGTACTTTACAGCTACAAAAGCCTTTCCTTTGCAGATTGCCGCTTACAAGGCACATTTAAGGATACAAAGAGCAAATTCCTCCTTGCACTATCACAAACCAAGTTTTATTTTTAGCTCTAGAAAGCAAAAAGAAAGAAAACAAGCCACAAGCACATTGCAACTTTTTCAGCACATACTTTAAGAGCTGTGCTCCTTAACAGGGCAGCTATCTGAGAAACTGAACTGTATGTGACACGCTTCTAGAGTTAGAAAAGAGCCTTGCAATTCCTGCCCTGTGGCTCTGCTTGAAAGCCTAGGAAATTGGACTTCTCATTTAGGACATAGTCATCATGTATATCTATATATAACCAAGTAGAACAAGAGCTGGAGCATCTGAAAGACAAGCGCTCCTTTTCACTTGGCAGAAGACCACCTCTTTAAGAAGGGCAGGGGAGCATCATTAATGCTGAGGCTGGAAAGACACAACAGAAGTTCAATTAGATTTTCAGTGGTCATTCACAGAAGGCCAGCCACCAACTGCGAGAAGTATCTAGGCCAAACCTGGACCCAGAACATTTACACTCCAGTAAAAGAGAAAAGCAAACTGAAAACTTGAAGCAACAGCACTGGATACTTGTTGGGCTGAGAGGTAAGAGCTAGGTGAGGATCCACATCATCCACCAGGCCCTTTAATTTGCAATCACCATGTTATCAGCTCAGCCACTGGCTTTTAATATAGCTTAGCTGTGATGTTAAGCTACATAGTAAGCTGATCACATCATGATGTCAAAATAATCCCTGCTCTCCTTCACTCTACCCCTAAACTCCATGAGAGGCCTAGCCATCCCGTAGCCATGGCATGAAGCAGGCTGGTTGTTGATGCAGCATGACTTCTTGCTAAGAAGTATAATCTAAACCAATCCAAACCTGTACAGTTTAAAAGAAAAAAGCCTACACCAGAAGCATGGAGCAGACCAGCCCTGTCTTGTTAGCAGCTCAGCATTAGAGCTGCTAATCACATTGTCAATTAAGGTCTAATACAAGGACGTATGAAGATACTCAGATGCTGTAACATTGTATGGTAACAGCAATGGGGCTGGCAGTTGCTGAACAGCACAAATGACAAAACTCAGTGACATACAAAGATAAGTCCTTTCCATGTATAAGAAATCCTTTATGGTCTGTGTTCCCCCCCCAAATGGAGTGCATCTCTCCAAATTATAGTGACCACTTCCTCAGTTAAAAAAGCTCAGGAAGTCTCATCAGCAAAACATTTCAAATGACACCTGACACCTTAAAAACCTGCGTAACACCCTGTACTGATTCAATAAATACATTCCTTAAACTTGTTGATTGTCAACACAGCAACTAACCACCCCAGGTATTCGTAACTTCCATCTTACAGACTGAGAAATCAAAAGGCACAGCGAAGTCAAGAAACTTAGTCTTCGTTGTTCTCTAGGCAAAGACACCAGAACCCCAGTCTGAACTGCCTCAAGGGTGTGTTCTTGCACATGGAGCACACTTCTCAAGTCACTGTCCACGAGAACAGATTAGCATTCAGATTGCAAACCTTACTGAGCTGCTCCAGTGACTTAGCATCAATCTGGTGCTGAGTGTCTCCCAAAACCAAGCTAGGCACAGGAAATAAAATAAAGAGATGATGATTTGGCAATTGCTTCCAACAGGCTAAAGACACATAGAATGAACCAGCAAGCATTAAATTTAAGCATGAAAGTCTGCACATTCAAAGAAAAAAGTTAGGGGACTGCTAATCAGCTGGCAGCTCTTCCAGAGTAACAGACAACAGCTGCTCTGTTTTGGTTTCATTTCTTTCATCTGAAAGATTGGAAGCTTCAAGGAAAGCAGTCACATCCCATCAGATGCCCAGATATTTAACTGTCAAAGGCTATGATATGGTTTGAATAGTGTTGAAGAGCTACCTTCCAAACACCAGACTGTTAAAATGATGGATAGTCCTCTTAATTTTAACCTACCAAGTGCAACTGTGGATTAGTTTTTATTCGTATCTTTAAACCCCTTTTTATTCTCCTTACACTAACTTTTCAAGTTAATTCTATGTTAAATAGATCTCTTCCCAATTCAATTTGTATGTTAAATAGATTGTATTTCACTATTCAGGATGACTTCTTGTCGAAGCCTTTGTGCTGTTAGAAAGCAGCCTTTTATCATCACATCTGCAGTAAAGTCTAACTTTCCAGTGTGTCTATTTGTCATGCTACTTAGTCACAGATAGTCAAATTAACCCATGGTGTAGCTCAGACAAATGACACTAATCAACAGAATGTTGTTAAGCCTTGAATTTCAACAATTACTAGCTATATCACTTTGTATTATCTTTTGTTTCCACAACAGTACTTTCTCCACATACAGTTGCAGCACAGGGATAAGAATCAGCACCATCTCATCAACCTCTGTGTCCTTTCACGAGCTTGTAAATTTACCTTCAAGCGTTGTTAAAAATATAAATACGTGGCATGCAAAGTGCAGATACCTTCCAACATAGAACATACTTGTGCAAGGCCAATTACTTGAAAACAAGACAAGAACTCCTGTTTTTTGAGATAGAAGCATGCCTACAGTTCTATGACTAGTCTCCCTGGTTGCAAAAGCCTGTGGACTAGTCAGGAGCAGCAGTTAAAGATACTTTTTGCAAAAATCTGTCTTGACCAAGAAACAAGACAAAGCAGAAAGGCAAGAGAGTGCACTGTCAGTAAGTTTAACTAGATCAGACAAATTTGTTTTGATCTTTACATTAATGGAATATTAACAGGATAAAAAAAATGCAAGAAAACATCTTCTGTTACACTAAACATTTGTAAGAAGCAAGGTCAACACACTGTACCAACGCACTAAAAGCATTAAAGGGTCATTTATGGACAAAGAACCACCCTAGCTGTAGTGACGCCAAACTTCTTAGAGCAAGCTTTGCTCACTACACAAAGTACATTCCCCATATATTACAAAACACCACACATGACATAGCATAGCAAGCATTACATAGCCAAGACATCTACAAGCACAGTAATCAAGTTCCAAAAAACACAGGATGCAAGCGCTAGCAAGTTAAGGCTGTCCCACAAATGTTCTTCTAAACCAAATGTCCTGTGTGTGCCAGAACTGAGGGAAAAATGGGATAAACCAGAGTGCCTCACAGAGTCCAGAAGTCCTAAGGATTCAGGTCATTAACAATCCAGATTTTCTCATCAAAAGATTAACATCTTAAAAGCTCTTCACTAATGAAAAACAAATCAAATAGTTCATATTAACTTGCCCAGCAAAAGGAGGAGAGGCAGGAATAACAAACAACTTATTGATAAATTAATTATCTAAAACCACTGAGATTAGTATTTATATTTTAATAGAAACCTAAAAGAATCCCTTAGGTATTCTTAAAGCAGTCTCATTAGGGAGGACAAAGCCTAGTACAGGCCAAATCCTCTTAGGAAAACTTCCTCTCCCTATCAAAGAATTACCTCAATTTCTCCCCACTGGCCCTTTCAGGGTGGGAGGTGGTGGGGAATA